TTCTCATCTGGTGAGATCAACCAACGGATCTCTTCTTCATGCGCGTTCTTTCGAAATGAAGGTCCCCTTAACAATGTTATCTCAGGGGATTCATCGAAACCAAGTTTCTCTTCGTATGTTACAATTTTGACAAACTGATAGAGTTTGCATGAAATGGATGTGTTTGAACAGAGTAAATTAGCTAGCAGTAATGCAGAGCCTTTACATGTTATTACTTCCTATTCTGTGAAATACAAAAATGTGAAGTATGAATGACCTGATTTGATTTGCTTGTTTTTGCAAACAAGACGAGTACAAAATACACTAAATTCAGTTGCCAATCTGACGCCCAACACATAATTTATGAAGTTTTTCTTTAAACTAAGAAGGTAAGAACGCTGTTATCTACACCATGGCAAGTGTTCCGCAAATCTCAGTAATGATATTTCCGACAGTATTATCATTCTATCAGTGATGGAGATTTACATGAAACTATTCAATCAACAAATTTTGCATTACAGTCAGCAAGACCGACTTGGCCGTACCATAGAGATCCCCTACAGCAAGCTTGCTATTGTTGTTCAGCTGAACAACAGGACCAGAGACCGATCTAGCATTCCACCCCAACAAAGCCCAGGTTTGCCCTGCAGGCAGAAAGTTTCCTCGACCAAACGAGAACAACGAAACGATTGGATGAAGGATCGGACGACGGGCTGGATGGTTGGTTGGCTGACTGGCCTTCGACTGGGTGAATCGATCTGAATTGGCAAAGTGCACAATTGTGTCCGAGAGGCGTGCCAGCTTTGCTCGGTATTGCAGTAACACTTTTAGTTGTGGAGGATGTGATAGCCCATGTGGGGCTGGGACCAGAACTTGCAGGGTTCTACATGTCCAAACCTCGCAGCGTGTTATGGGGTGAGAATGGGCGAGATTGTGATTCATGGACGCCAAGCTTTAATTTAACCCCTTTTTTAATGGTAAAAACTGTCTCGCTAGGGCCTCATCAATTCACTTTATGAATGTAGAGAGACCCCGATCCTTATTTTATGAAGGAATGATTCCATTCTTCAAACTACTCAATGATTGTGCTTAAGGTAGAAACTGGATTTTTGTTATAATGGTCGCATATGACTCATTGCCTAACTTTTTATTCACCAGAATATTCTAGTTTAATGGTTTGTTGGCTCTACACTCCCTCTTTTGATCCTATCTCCAATTTAAAAGTCAAAAGCATGCACATAAAACATAGTTATGGTCGCTAGATGAAGTGACAAAAATAGCTATCTAGCGTGGTTGGGTCGTAGATATACAATCTTTAGCAAGATCGCGGTTTCCTCTTACGACACAGGATCCTTTTGGCTTCGGTCCTCCAGCTTCTTCGCGTTTACAGAGAAACTTGGGTGAACTAGCCAAAGTGATCATTAAAGCACGTCACATTGGCCAACACCCTCCTTCAATATTTCATCTTGTCAAGGTGCCCTGTATATTTTTTAGTTTGTATTTTTTTGGAGTATATTTATATTATTTTCATTTGGACACTTTGAGTTTCTCCATAAATAAATCGAACCCAATTGCTTGTGATTCTCATGACAGAAAAGGTTTCAATATATCCTCAAGTATAGTATCTTCTGCAACGACTTCACCAAATCTTTAAGCAACGCTAAATAGCACGTTATTTGTTTCTTCTATTTCACTTTTTATGTAAAATAAACCTAGGGGGCTGCAGTGAAGTTAGGAATATTCTTGAAACTGTATAACACTGTCGGCATATTCAATACTCTGAAATGGTAGTAAACAGTCTTTTGAACGCAAATTTATATTCTTAGCAAGACTTTCTTTTCTATACCATATATTCTATTACTCTGTTCCTGTGACCTGCCAATATCCTATTAGTGACTGTGTAAATTCCATGGCGTTTTTCCGGCATCATATTAGAGATCGCCATGGAAAAGCACTATTCTTGGCACAAAACCACAAATTTCCATTAGCTTATCAATAATCGTTTTCATGCTAGGTAACTAATATAAATAAGGAAGTCTCTTACAATACTCTTTTTATCACAAACTTTACCATAAATGTATTTACTTTATGGCGATGGTAATGAAACATAGAAAAAGTGCACATGTGAAATGGAATAAATCGTCTAGCCCTTTTTTGACTGAGCAAATATTCTTCCATCGGTACATGGAACAGTTGCATAAGAAGAACGCTTGTATGTCCAGATTCCCTTAAATGATCAAACAGACCGATTTCAACTAATCTCAGCTTGATACGTATGGAAATGTCTCAGATCCGGTACACTAGTTTTTGACAATCTTAGATATCCTGGGTCTAATTCTGGGTCTCATCAGCACCCCCAACGGAAATCGGACCCGGGTAGTGCAGTGTATTATTTCAACGTATTGCAATCACACCACATTGCTGCGAGTGCCAGTGGGTCACAGAGCAGACGTAAATTGTAATTAAATCAAGCCTTTTTATATCGCACTTTGTAGTGTGATTGCCGATAAATCAATATTGTATTTGCTTCTACTAGGATTCCATGAAAAAGTTGTGATGTGGAAAAAGCCTTGTTTGCTTTAAAATCCACCACTGTCCGGTGACCCACTGGCATATATCACAGCAAGGGCTGATGATAAAAGACCAGATATTTTCCCATACCAAACGCATCTTTGCTTCATCAACAATCACACCATAGAATGTTATATGTAAAAATGCCTGGCCTTTCTTTAAATTCACATAGGCCCTGCGACCCAAGGGCACTCGGTAGTGGTTAAAATGTCAATATTATACGCTGGATTGTTATAGTTGGAATCCCGTTGAGGTTGTTGATAAGGCCCGGGCGAAGTCGAAATTGCAGTGAACCTTGGACGAGAATACCTTTTGGGTTATGCGAAATTCAATGGAAACGTCATGTATGTTTATAGCATTGTTGAAAACTTCAACCTTCCGTCCCCTTACCGGACTAAATGAAATATAATGAATACATTGCACTGCATTATTGCTCGAATAATATTGAATCTTACCTATAAAACACTAAAATCGGCGTAAATGCCATTATCTACATTCTAAGAAGTATTGCACTCAGAAAATTACCTCAAAATTTAATTTTACACGGACTTAATTCATGGTTGACCATCTACTAATCAACTTGACTTTCTTTCATTTAACTATTATTTACGGAAAATGAATGAAATCCATAAATGCCATTAAACCAAGACACTGAAAATTAGGTTAAAGAATCAAAAGTAGGATAAAACTAAGTTCTTTTGCATTCATTGTAGTACGGTATGTAGATCCACAATAAATTTTTTGATTAAAGATTAAAATTCTTAGAAAATTTTAATAAGCTGATTCTTATAAATTAAGTACACTTGTAATAGGTTTCAGATTCCCTACTTCAATTCTTGTACTGATCATTTCATTTTAAGAGTTATTATTGGATCTGGGGCATGTCAGCTTTCTATAAGCCTTACCCAGGCACCGTCTACATGTTTATTAATTTGCATTAATTAATAATTTGATGAGC